CCCTCCAAGTGCGACTCACCATTGACTGCCAAATCAATCGTCTTGTCATTGCACACGGCGTATTTGCCCCAGACTTCCTGATAGCCCAATCAAGATTCTCCTCCCATGTTTGCGGCAAGAAAGAACTAAATTTACCCAACAACAGCTTATGGATAGAGGAATAGTAGGGACAGACAGAAAACATGTGATCTCTTGTCTCATCTGGCTGATCACAGAGAAAACAGTGGTCTGATCCGACAAATCCTCATTATTTCATCTTGTCCTTAGTTTGTATCTTGTTTTGGGTGATAAGCCATACAAGAAATTTATTTCTAGGGATCGAAGTCCCCTTCCAGAGAAGCTTATACCATCTTACTGCATTTTGTTTTGGCCTAACAACTTCCCAAACCAACTTAATAGAGTATCTTGGCATAGCATTATTAATCCAATGAAGCAAGCCATTGTTCAAGCTAAATAGGTTAGGGATCTTATCACGAAGTCGCAACAACCTTTTCCAGTTCCAAGAACCATTCACATTCACAATACAGAAATCCCTACCTTTCAACTTATGTGCCTGAATCCAAACTACCCACTGTGAACCATGCTGCATCATTATCGCCCAAACCTACCTAAAAACACAAGCATAGTTCTAGGTAGTGAGGTCCCTCAGTCCAAGCAGTGGCGTAGCCAGGATTTTGGGTAAGGGGGTGCCAAAGAGAAAGAGGAACGAAGGAAGATGAAGGGTCAAGGGTGGGACTGGGAGAAGCTTGCTTGTTAGGGCTAAAGTTTTGATTACTGCTTGAATAAGCATGTAATTATGAGGTTTTTAAATTTAATTTACTTATTATTTGTAAACGGTAAATTAAATATATGCAATAAAACATATTAGCGTATCACGAAAGTAATTGTGGTTTAGTGGAAGATGTCAAAACTAATAGTAAGGGGGTTTCATGTTCAAATCCTAGCAATAGCATAAACTAATACCCTTATTTTTTGATGTTCTAGCCCCGACCCAAGGGTGTGCCGGGGAACACCCTACTTACACGGTGTCTCCGCCCCTGAGTCCAAGACCACCTTCTTTCTTCGGAATAGACAGATACTTCCCTGCCATTTTCGCTTTAAGCTTGAGCCCAGGTCCAACAGCCCAGAGGAAGTTGCTACAGATTCTTTCAACCTCACGAATAATCATTTTGGGAAGCATAAAGACACTCATCCAATACTGTGTCCTACTATACAGGACAGAGCCAACTAGTTCCACCCTGCCAGCATAGTTTAGAGACTTTGTCTTCCACCCCTGCACCCTGCTCGTAATTCTGTCTATGAGAGGTCTGCAAGCGCTAACTTTGAGCTTCCCAGCCACTAGAGGTACTCCTAGATAACGCACTGGGAACCCACCTAACTGATAACCATATCTGCTAGCTCGAGCCACCATCCCCTCCTTCTCTAACCCTCCAAAGAAAACTTCACATTTACTAGGATTTGACTGGAGACCAGAGAGCTTGTGAAACACACTCAGAACCCTCTGCACACTCTGAATGCCATAGTTTGAACCATCAGAAAAAACCAAAAGGTCATTGGCAAAACATAAGTGAGTCAGGCCTATCTTTTTGCACATTGAGTGGTAAGGAAACCTCCCCTTCTTAGCTTCCAGATCCAATAGACATGAAAAAACCTCCATAGTTACAACAAACAAATATAGGGAGAGTGGGTCTCCCTGCCTCAAGCTTTGCTTTGCAGGAAAGTAGCCCACTAATTCCCAATTAAACGCAATACTCAACATAGGGCTAGTGACACACATCTTTATCCATTCAATGAACTAACTAGGTACCCCCATGGCTTCAAGCACAACAAAAAGAAACTGCCAATTCATAGAATCAAACGCTTTTATAAGATCAATCTTCAAAGCTGACCTAGTGGAAATATTCTTCTTAGAGTACTTATGCACTAGCTCATGAGCAAGGAGAATATTTTCCCCAATAACCCTCCCCTTTACAAATGCAGTCTGGTTCTTACTAATTACTAGGGGAAGCAGAGCACTAAATCTGTTTGCCACAATCTTTGATATACATTTATACACTATGTTGCAGCAAGAAATAGGCCTAAAAAACTTCATCTCATCTGGATTCTGGACCATAGGAATCAGAGCAAGGATAGTAGCATTTACCTCTCTAGGTATCTTCCCAGACACAAAACAACTCTGGATAGCATTAATAATTTCAGCCCCAATGACTCCCCAAGAAGCTTGAAAAAAATTGGCATTATATCCATCCGGGCCTGGACTCTTATCTCCATTAAAACTAAACATAACATCCTTAACCTGAGTGGCAGTGATAGGAGCACAGAGAGAGGTTACCTGTGGTGAATTGAGCTTATGCCTTAGCAAACCCTTGTAGAAATCCACTTACTCCAGCTCAACATGCGGGTTAACTTTCCCCAGCAGATGCATATAGAAATCAATAGCCACCTGACACATGCCTTCTACTGAATTAAAAAAAAAACTTACGGACCCAAATTAGTGCTAATTACTTGATATTTCATTGGATTTGGGATCTCCTAAATAATTCATGCATGATTTAAAAGTAGTTTTTGTGCTACTTATTATTTGTGGGATTATGAATAATTAATTAATAGATCTTGATCAAGTCATCATAGTTGACGGTTGTTCGCATATTTTCCATATTTCATAAGAAAAATGTATTTTTTTTGAAAAAAAGTGCTTGTTCATTAGATTAAGAATTACTAATTTATTTTTATACTAACAAAAATAAAACAATTATGCATAATTAGAAACTCCAAGGATATCCTATTGATAATCTAACAAAAAAAGTTATCATAAATTTGGTCTGAACTTCATGGTCAACAATCACATAGAAATGTCATAATTAAAAAATAATAATTTAATAATAACAAATATTAATGTGCAAAAACATGGTTGATTGCTAAGAGCTGACATTGACGTATGAGGATAGTTCGAATTTTTATGATTAGTTCAAGAATATTATAATGATAAGAATCTCAAATCTTTTCAATACACTTACCTCATAATCGTCATTCTTAGAAGGCGATTCGTGTCAAAATTATGTCAATTATAATTTGTGATATTATAAATAAGAAAACACATGAGTTTGCATAATAATTATTCAAGATTTACTTTGATTTGAAGATTTTAGAGTTTAAAGATTTAGGATTAGGGTTTATGGTTTATAATTTGTTGTTTTGAGTTTGCATTTAATTTTTTTTAAAAATTACTGATTAGAGTTAATGAATTGATTAGTTTTGATCTTATATTATATCATCATATTAGATTAATGTTACCAATTAAAATAAAAATATTTTTTAATAAAAAAAATATTTTTTAACACTAATTCACTCATTTTTGTGAGCACCGTTGATGAGTAAGTATTACACTATGTTTGGGAAGGGGGGTTAATGGGAGGGGGAGCAAGTTTGGGGGTAAATGCATTTGTCCCCATTTGGAAAATTATGAATAGTGTAGAGGGTGACATTAGGGGGCAAATCTAGAGGTGGGCAACGGGAAACGGGTATTTGGGTATACCCAAACTCGTTCCATTTTTTGAGGGTTACGGGTACCCAAATACCCGTTATATTTATTGTGGGATGGGACTTGGGATTAAGAATCACAACATTGGGTACCCGCGGGTTACCCGCTAATACCCGTTTGGGTACTTTAGATACCCGTATAATATATCCATGAAAATGAAACGGGAAATCATCCAATAACAAAGTTACCTTCATGATAAACATATATAGTAGAGGAGTAATCCCGATGGCAGTCACCAACACATAAATGTCTTTCAACCGCGGGTATATATAGACTATACATAGTCCTACTTCTAAATATGCATGCCAGGTACTTATCGTGAATTGTTAGCACACAGTAGCCATCAGTAGTTAGAGGAGCCATATTCTCCCACTGCAGCAGAACCATCCTTAGGCTTTGAAAAGCTCTTGGATTGAGCCATGGCCAACTCACCATCAATGAAATTAACTAGCGTCAGTACAAAATAAATTTAGTACTAAATTTAGTACCCATTTGCTTGAACTTATGGGGACGCAACTTATGGGACAATTGCAGTAGCTAAAACTTCGTTATGTTGTTGTTCTAACTCAGTTATAGACTATAGTAGCTTTATTTTGTTATTTTATTTGTTGAATGGGTATAAACGGGTAGTTTGGGTACCCATTATCCGTCCCGTATGGGTTGACGGGTACCCGTTACCCGTTTGGGTTTGGGATATGGGATGGACTTTGGTCTCCAAATGGGATTGGGTACCCGTTTCAAACGGGACGGGTAGCCAATCCCGTACCGTTTTCCACCCCTAGGCAAATCCACTATTCTCATTAACCCCCCAATTTGGGGTACAAATGGAGAGAGAAAGAGTGGAAGGATGAATAAAAGATAAAATTAATATAAATATTGTTATGTTTTATATGTATGATTATGTTTTATGATTGTTGTGACTAAAAATGTCATGTAATCATTATTCTACAATAATACTTATTATTATGATCCTGAGAATAATTATTATAATGATTAAATAATAATTATTATAATGATTAAATAATAATTATTATAATTTTTACATTGATTCCGGGAGATATCATTTGATATTCGATGAGAAAGTTTGTTAAATTGGCTTCAATTGTTTGACTCGGTCAAACAAGTGAGTCAAGATTCCTCAAGTCGAATCGAGATAGGATGGTCATTTATGGTTAAAATCGATTTCATAATGTCTGTTTCACTCCGATGTAACCATCATTTTGATAAATCAACGCCCGGGTGAGAGACATGAGCTAGTTATATGTCTTGGCCACGAATTGAGCTTCAAACATAGTCATTCGAGCTCGCTCAACTAATTATTATTATTATGGACCCAACAATTTTTTTTTATGAATATTTATAATTAATTACTACTTGAGCATTAATATTTTAATATTATTATATTATATTATATTATATTATATTCTTTAATAAATGGGCCTGCTGCCCTGCCCTGGTCTTCAAAGCTCATAAAAAAGCCAACACATCTCGCCTTAAACAAAAAAACGGCAGCTTCGCTACCTCTCGAAGCTTTCAGTAATTGAGCCATGAAGGACACTCTGGAAACCGGAATTCATTCTTCTGCTCTCCAAATCAATGACCTCATTCGAATCGACGGTGCCGCCATGGATCTACCAGAGGTTCCCGAGAGAGAGAGAGAGAGAGAGAGAGAGAGAGAGAGAGAGAGAGAGAGAGAGAGAGAGAGAGAGAGAGTTGGAGGCTTTAGCTTTAGATGGGGGCATCCATCAATGCGTCGCCGAATGCAAGCTTGGGTTTATTAGATATGGTGGAGATAACTGTTTCCACTCTCCGGTAATGCCTATCTATCTGTTATCTTCAATCGTCTTTCTAATTTTGGTACATATGTACTGCCATGTGTTTGAATTCTGAAGCATCTTCCTACTGTTGGTTTTTGTTTGGTAGAAATCTGAACTGTAACTAGGATTAGATGCTTAGAAATGAAGAGGTTAGTGTCACAATAAAATAAGTGGCTAGGTAATATGCTTGGATGGTTTCGTCTATGGTGATGATCACCTCTCGTCAACTGTCAATTGTGAATCTAAAAATGGAAAGATGCTGTTTATATATGAAGATGATGACGATAGCAGGAATTGGATTAGGTGAGGAAGCAATTAAACAATGAGCCAAGAACAAGTCATATAGCCAATCCCATTAATGCTAACAAGGAAAAGAAAAAAGAAAAGTAAGTCAACCCCACAACCCAGCCATTCCACAATTATTTGTATTGGAAATGGAAGACTATCCCTTTGCTATGTTAATCAGAAATAATCAGATCAAAGATCCTTCAATCTAATGGCTTCCTCCTCTTCTAAAGCTTTAATGCTTTCTTCTTCCTCTTCGTCTCATAGGGTCATGTATAATGGAAAGTGGGAGTACGATGTTTTTGTGTGCTTCAGAGGAGCCGACACCCGCAATAGTTTTACTAGCCACCTCATGGAAGCGCTCTCTCGCGAGGAAATCAAAGCCTTCATTGATGACATGCTCGAAAAAACAGAGAGCATCGGCGAGCTAATCTCTGTCCTACAAAGATCTGCACTATCTATCGTGATTTTCTCGGAGAATTTCGCAGATTCAAGCTGGTGTTTGGATGAAGTGGCCACCATTTCTCAAATCATGGAAGAATTCGGACACCGGGTGCTTCCGATCTTCTACAAAGTGGATCCATCCGATGTTTCAGAGGATTGTGGGAGTTATGCTGCTACCATTAATCTAAAATATGGAGCTAGCAACGTTCCAGAAGATAGGAAGAGGTGGATGGGTGCTTTGAAAGCTGTGGCTAATTGTACTGGCCATACCTCGCAAGAAATCAAGTAAGTTTCCCTTTATTCCTTAGAGCTAGCCATACCTCGCAAATAATTGTTTCTGTCAAATTCAATTTCCATTTTCTCAAGGAAGATTTCCCCCGTCTTCTCTTTGTTTTGCCTTTTTGCATTCTTAGGATTGACTCCGAGTTAGTTAAGGTGATAGTGAGTGATGTTTTGAAAAGACTCGTCCACATGTCACCGAGAGTGAAGTCTGATATGTTGATTGGCATGGATGCTCGCATTTGTGAGGTTGAAAAACTACTGGCTTTGAACGTGAATGATTTTCGGATTATTGGACTTTGGGGGATGGGTGGGGTAGGGAAGACCACTTTGGCTAGAGCTTGCTATCAAAGGTTTACATCCTCTACGAAAGGAACAAAGCGTCAATTTGTTCGAAACATCCATCAAACACGTGAAAAGGAAAATGGGATGGTAGGAATCGTGCAAGAACACTATTCAGCATTGTTGTCCGAGGACAACATAAGTTATGAAGATTTGGATGTTAGTTATAGAAGGGATCGTCTTTCTCGGCTGAAGGTGTTCCTTGTTTTTGATGATGTGGAAACTTTTTCAGAGCTAGAGCACTTGTTGTTGGGAGATCTTTTGAATACCTTCAATTTGTTTGCCTTGGGGAGTAGAATTATTGTGACAACGAGAAACCGAAGAGTGCTTGAAAATGCAAGGGCTAATATATACTATGTTGAGGGTTTGCATTCTCAGGAATCTCTTCAACTCTTTGGTATACATGCATTTAGACAGTACCTCCCCCCTGATGATTGGATGCGTTTATCAGCTGTGGCTATATCTTACTGCAAGGGAAGCCCTTTAGCCATAAAAGTTCTAGGAGGTACTTTGTATTGCAGAGACAAAAGTTACTGGGAGAGTTTCTTGTGTGAACTGCGGAAAATTCCCAAGCCGGAAATTCATGATGTGCTTAGGAGGAGCTATGACGAGCTTGGTATTGTTGAGAAGAGATTGTTTCTCGATACTGCTTGTTTTCTTCATCGGCAGCGGAAAAATTTAGTGATGAAATATTTTTCTATTGGTTATCAATGTGCCAATTATGTACTAGAGGATCTAATTGGTAAGTCTCTGCTCATCCGTGTCTCCAGCGAAGATTATGAGAACATTGAGGTTCATGATTTGCTAAGAGAAATGGCTTGGAACATTGTTAATGAGGAATCAGAACTTGCAAATCGCAGTAGGTTGAATAATGCTGATGATATTCGCAAGATTTTAACAATTCGGAAGGTGAAAACAGAAGGCATTAGTTTGAACCTTTTCAAAGCCAATGAGATGTATTTAGAAGCTACCACATTCGAAGGGATGACTTCTTTGAGATTTCTCTGCTTCGTCTATTTTTCAGAAGAGCATGGAATTCGCAAAGTTCATTTACCAAGTGGTGGCCTTGACATGCTTCCTGACAGCTTGAGGTGGCTGCTATGGGATGGATTCCCTTCAAAATCTCTACCATCAAGATTCTCTCCTGAAAACCTTGTCCTGCTTGCTATACGACATAGCCCATTCATAGAAAGATGCTGGGAAGTTCAGGTATGTTGGAAACACTTGCAAATTTTTGTGATGAGTTCAAGCATGGATTTATTATGTTAACAAAGCCATTTTAGATCCTTGGCCCCACATGTGATTGTGAGTGATACTTGGTGCAATCTGATGTGTTCTCTCTTCTCTTCTTCTTATTATCGCGTTAATGCTCATCTATTCATATATTGCGTATTTGAGTTGTGATATTCATATCAGTTCTGTTCTCACAGGAAGAAAAAAAATCAAATTTAATGTGTTCTCATATTCACATTGATATATTTTGAAACAAAAGTTATTCCAGTTTTCTAACAAATGATTGTTTTATTGCTCAAGTGTGTTTAATAATGCATTTTTCCTAAAACTCAAAGAGGGATTTATTATATCTTAGCCTTGTTTTATATTCTTGTTCTTTTGCAGCCAAAGCTTGTGAATCTAGTGGAGCTTCACCTGTCCGACTGCATAAATTTAACTGATGTCCCAGACCTGTCGAGTTCTCCAAATCTCGAGTACCTTTATCTCCAGGGATGTAAAAGCCTGATCGAGCTACCATCTCATATTCAATATTTGAACAAGCTGATTACACTGGATCTTGGTGATTGTATAAATCTGCACAGTCTTCCCGTGAAACTCAACTCAAAATTCCTTGAGCATGTTTACTTGTCCAACTGTCCCATGGTTATTCGTTGTCCGGAGATTAATTCACGATTGGTGCATTTAGATTTGATGGAGACACCTGTCAGGCTGTCACAGTCTTGCCGGGTGCAATTTTCAATGTGAAGCAGGGTAGTATCCTCCGTCTCTGCGGCAAACACATCACCAGCTTCCCAGCAATTTCGGCAAACTTGAACTTGTTTCGGCTGTGCCATACCACAATAAGAGAGATGGAATCTTATGATGAAGATCACCTAGCTTCTTCTGAATTACTATTGCCACGATTTGTTCAACTGGAGTTGGTTGACAACCCGCAACTCAAGAGCTTGTCAATGAATATCTGGACGATGGTCTCTCAAACACTCGTACTTGATGATTGCCCGTTGATTGAAAGTTTGCCAGAGGTCTCACAGCCTGTTAATGGCTTAACTGAGCTTCAAATATTCAAATGTGGAAACTTGGAGAGTTTTCCAGCTGGTATCAACAATCTGAGATCTTTACAGGCTCTCTATTTCTGTGCCACAGATATTACGTCTTTGCCTGCTTGTATCCAGGAGCTGGACCAGCTCTCTCTTTTAGATCTGTCCTTCAGCAAAAGCCTCGAGCTTGTTCCGAGCGCCATCCATAAACTTGCCAAGTTATCCTCTTTGTACTTGACGGGCTGTTCGATGATTCAATCTTTACCAGAACTCCCGCCCAATCTTATACTGTTGGATGTAAGTGGTTGCAAGATGTTACAAGCCTTACCAAGCAACTTAGGCAAGCTGAGATGGAAGTACCTGTGCTTTGACGATTGCCCGCGATTGGACAAGAATCTTCCTAAAGAAATGGTGCAGAATTTCCCTATTCATGCAACTTTGTATCTACATCCTCGGGTATATGAAAACTTCAGTAATATAATGTTTTTGTTATTTATATGATTAGCAGTTGGGAAAAGTGTTGGAAGACATTTTTTCTAATGAAAACTGCCTCTCTGTTTTGTAACAGGGCGATCTTCAATATTCAGGGAGTGAGATTCCAGATTGGTTTGCTTACAATAAGAATGATTCATGTGTGATGGTGCAATTGCCGCTTCCAAACTCCAGTAAGCAACCAATTAAGGGGATTGCATTCGGCGTTGTGTGTTCTTCGGATGTTTGGATCGACTGGCTGGATATTAAGTGCGATTGCAACATCGGCACCTTAACAGCTGCCTCTTGGAGCAGTCATGGTTTACATTTGGATGGTACGGCATCAGAAGATAATGTATATTTGTGGTATGACGAGAATTTGTTAGTTGAGACCAAGCAAAGAATACTAGAAGAGGCTGAAATTTGGTATGTCAAATATGCTGGGCTCACCGTTACCTTCAGATTCTACTTTGAAGCAGAGAAGGAAGATGTCGAGAAACTAAAGAGCACCAAAATCAAAAGGGTCGGCCTCTCTCTACTGTACTAACTGCTCGTAGTTTGGTGGAACAGAGTCTGCGTTGCAGCTCCTTTAAGACATTCTATATCTCGTTTTGTGTCTGTATCTGAATCGTTCCTTTGCTTCTTGGCGTCCTTAGTTGAGCTAATTCGCAAGTTGAGGTGGATATGGAAGGCAGGCTTTTGCATCGAGTTGTTTCTCCTTGTAAGCGAGTGAGCTAATTTTTATTTGTTTGTTGTTTGTCACGTCAACATTAGCTGTACATGATCAGAGATTTAGAGTGGAACCACAAAAATGGCGAGTTGTATACTCAGAGAGCACTCATGGTTCCTTCTTGTTTATGAAGAAACCAGCAATCAGCGACTTTCTTTCTCCCATTCAACTCCCAACTGATATGAGCATATGATGCCATCATCTCCATGACAAGACATGAGTTTTGCGTATTCCTATGTTACAGAGATTTCCCAGAAACAATCAGCCCCCACCTAACCCGCCTAACAACCTGAATGACACAACTCTACAAAGGCAGTCACAAGTTAGGACAGCCGCCTTGCCGGTTATCAGCCAGAGTAGAATAAAATTGCCTCCATTTGACCTTTCACCCTCTATGCCCGCCAACGACATAGAACGCTGCAATTGTCATGATCAAACTAACGAAATTTACATTCAGCGATCAGCGTCAGCTTCCATCCACATTGAGTCCAAGCTCTCCTCCACATCGCACAAATTGATCTTCGTATGGTAAAAATTTGAATCTGCCATGGCCTCCTCAGCATCCCTTAACGATGTTTATCATTAAGAACTCACCCTAATGGACGGTTGATTAAAGAGGGGAAAGATTTCTTCTCAACATTCAAAGCTTCTCACAATGCGTCCCAGCCTGCTGATCACAACCACTGGATCAGCATGCGACTCCTCGAGATATATTGCGTGATACTCCAGCCCTTTCCACTGGGCAATCAACTGAAAATGTGGGCGTCTGAACTCTGCGCTCACAATCTCGAGAATCACAGTTCTTGGTGTAGCCGACACAATGTGAGTCAAGCCAGCACCATGAGCGCCTATGATAACAGAAGCCTCTTGAATGGCTCTCAGTTGCTCCCTCATTGGCATGTGTGCAAATAATCCATTCACCACCTTCACTTTACACTCTGAATGATTATTGTGTTTATATGATGCCCATTTCTGTACAGCATCGAACACCTCTTCTTCATTGCTGAGTCTCGATTGAACCTTTCCATCGTGGCGTGGGTGGGCCAAGTAATCTTCCCTTCTCACAAAAAGGACATTGAGGCCTGAAGCTGGCTTTTCGGAACCAGGCCTATTGACCGGGAAGTGAAAGGCTGCTCTTATCATTTCTCCAAACTCTGACAATCTTGCTGTCTTGTGTTCATCAGGGTTCATCCAAAGTTCTTTCCCAGGAGCTCCATTACAGAATATATCTTCAGATAGACCCTTGAAGAGGGCAGTCTCATATCCCAGAGGAACAAGTACAGCATGGCGGTAACACACTGAGCCCGTAAAGTTTTTAGCATATTGGATGCTAGAGAAGAGAGCACTCCAGGTTTCTTCCAAGGGTGCCTGAAAATTTTCTCAGGAAGGTGAGAAATCACTGAGCGAGCTAGACAAGCACGCTTCAGACAAACCAAGGTCGAAGCACAATATGCAATGTATGATTGAACTAAATTAATATAGTGAACGTAGCATGTAAACTTCACTCTAGAATATAATTCCTGACCTAACAGAAGCCATATCCCAACTAAGAAACAAAAGGTATAAAGAAAAATAATAAGAGACTGTGAAATCCTGGAGTTCCCCAATACGCTTAAAGCAAATATATGACTTAAATTGCCAACGTTAGTTATAAAGAAGCTGCATCATTCATTGGGGGAGAGAGAGAGACTAAAGAAGCCATGATGAAATGCTCAAGCTTCCAGGAACCAACTCTTTGCTATTGATGTTTATAAACAAACAAAGGAGAAGAGACATTAGAAATGACACATCAATACCGCGAACTAAAGCTCTATGATGCATCTAAGTCAAATCATCCCTCTGCAACAGCACGTGGAAACCATCATAAGCACATAACAAAGTTAACTTGTCCCCAGAATGATCACATAAAATAGGATCTTTCTCCCCCAAAACACAAAAAATCATAATACTTAAGTGGCTTGATAAGATTATACGCTGAGGCAATGAAAACAATATCACATAGAGAAGTTGAAGATTTGAAGTATAGAGAAATAAGAATCAGCTCCAAAGTTCCTGGTTTTATAGTTGTTCATTATCTCTGATAAATTAAGGAGCTGTTTGCTTACTGGATCTGTGGACCCCACAAAATTTGGCACCCATCAACAAACAACAGACTTGAGGTAAATCCATCAAGCTTTGGATTTGGGCATCAAATCCATGATCCAAATCCAACAAGCAAATGACCCCTAAGTTGATGTGTTCTCATTTCAATGTGTAACCCAATCGAAAGAGAGAGCGCAAAGAGGGAACATACTCTACAATGGCCATCCACGAAAACCAAATGAGGCCGGTAAGGCAACTCCGTGACTTTAGAAGCCGCATATGAACTGTACCAATCTGTTACAGTGTGGAAAAGGTTCGCATACTCAAATCTGGTGACAAGCAACGTCGGCTCCTCAATCCACTGCAAGTATAATGCAGAAACATTAAGACCGTATCAAAAGCCACAGCTAAGAAGGATGCAAAAATCATGACATGATGCAGAAAATGGTACTATAAACTTCATCCAAATTCACCGTAATCCATATTCAAGCAACTACCATTAGCATGGCATTTATCCATTTCGGTGTAAAGCTACACATCTCTTCCAGATCCCCCTGGCAATTAATTCTCACCGGATCGATCAGGAGATCAGGACAGCATTCAATGTCGTCCTACAAACGACATCTAAACTTCGCATTTCAGAAAAGGAAATAGGCAAAACCCCTTCTGATTAATAGTTCAATATTTGATCTGCACTTCCTTGAGATCAAATAGCCAAAGAAGGAGATCCATTGATGGAGTAGGAGGCAGAACTCTAACCTGATCACACTGGAACTCCGTGGCATCCACCATTTGAATCGAACCCACAAGCTGCCGCATCGTGTGCCTCTCAATTTCTCCCTCCGGCAGGTACTCGCCGAGAAACCCCTCGTCCACAAGCTTCCTCCTCTTCTTCCACCTCCTCGCCTTACCCTCCGACGAACCCAGAATCTGAAACGCGCCGTCCTGAAAAATCGGCATCTCATCTTCCTCATCCCGCCCAATAACCTCCTGCAGCGCCTCCCCGCCCCTCGACATCGCAATCCTATCGGGTACCATCCGAATCCCGCCGCCCTCGCAGACCGAGCTCAGCAGCGTCCGGCTGAAGAAGCAGCGGAACCATCCGGCGGAGCGATCGGGGGAAGGCGGGAGGACATCGACGCGACGGGTGAATCCGTTGCCGAAATACGCCTCGCAGGAGCGGTAGGGGGCGTCGTCCTTGGGTTTGCGAGTCCAAGGGAGGTAAGAAGGGAGGATGGGCCAGGGCTTGAGGTAACCGTCGTCGGGGGTGGCGTTGGAGGGCTGGTGGTGAATTGGGTCGGGGAGGAATTGGCGACTGGAGGTGGGAAGCGGCGGGGCGTCGTGGTGGTGGAAGGAGAAGTAGAGGAAGATGGTGACGGAGTTGAGGGCGAAGAGGGGAATAAGGATCCTGAGGAGCTTCGACTGATCTCGGCCCATCTCAGATATTATTCCCCTTGAGTGGTTTCTTCTTTTCCGGGATTTCTCGTGCTACATTCCGAATCGGAAGGAACTCCGGTTCGGTTCTGCAGCTCCGGCGGGTGGAAATGGGGAAATAATGGGTTGGGGGAGTCCGAGGAAGAAAGGCTTGGCGGTCGTCGTTACGTGCGTCCGTCAGACGCTTGACTCCTCCCCTAAATTGATTCGGGGTGGGCAGCTACGTTTTCTTTGTCGTCTCCCTTTATCTTTTTTTTTTCTTTCTTCTTTTTCCGGACGGTGGAATTTCCGCCATCGGAGAGGACAATTCGCTTGGGCCTTGTTTTTGGTTACAAGATTTTGACTGCTAGCAGAATGTAGACATCAGATGTAGGCCGAGTCCATTAGGAGGAGTTGTAATATTCCTACTCTTGTCTTATTTTGTTCATCTTGAATCGATCTTTATACGATTTTATTTTTTGTACAATCATGATGATTTTTCAAGATATGTACTATTTCATAGGTCCAATTGTTTTTCTCTTCCACAAAAGATAATCAAATTGATTCAAGAACAGATAGTTATACCTTGGAGATCAGCCAGACCTGAAAATCAAAGAGCCGACTCGTAATCGGGTACAAAGACAGAGCTTTTCTAACCACCAAATGGGCTACCCTATTGTTACTCCAACCTACAAACCGCACACTAAACCCAAAATGGACTGCTAAAAGATTGACAACTTTTTGAAGAATCGCCCCCATCTAGCTATCCCTAGTGTCTGCCCAATTGATCTTATCAATAATGACCTTGGCATCGCCTTCAATTTCATTTCCGTGAATCCTAGGCCCTAGCACCACCGAATAACCAGAAGCTCGACTACCAGGGGCACATCAATTCGCGGAAACTGAATCCCTTTGGCCAGAACGAGATCTCCATGTGCATCCATAATCACCATCCCTCCCGTCGAGTGAGATCCACTCCTAGTCGCCCCATCCCACATACAAGTAGCCGTCAAGGGGGTACCAGATAACTGGTGACCTACCAAAGGAACAATTGGTTGCAGGACAAGGTCGACAGGCAGGTGGACCCATTCCTCATACTGCTGGTTAAATTGACGCATCAAAAAGGGGATCCCAAACTGTTTGCCCTCAAATACAACCCAGTTCCGAGACCACCAAATCCTCCACGGGATGGCAACAACCTTCATAAATAGCGTAGGCTGGTGTACTAAAGTCATCAATCTTTTAAAGAAGAGATAGAATGTATGGTGTGGCAACCCTTGGCCAAGATACTCCATGCCCGAGAAATCCCAAAGTGCACGCGTCACCGGACATTCAAGAAACAAGTGCTCCATGGTTTCAGAATCAGCCCATCAGACTGAGCAACTAGGGAGTACATTCACCCCTCTTTCCCGAAGAGCTTCTGTTGTCGGCAAGATTCTGTCAAAGATTTGCCAGTAGAAAACTTTCAATTTAGGCGGGATATTAGCCTCCCATAACCGAATCCAGCTAGGTTTATCCATCCAACTAGCCCAATGGCGCCATCGCCCATTGCCTTTATCAATCGAAACTGCTAAATGATAGGTCGACTTAACGCTGAAGACCCCATCAGCTGTGGCATGCCAGATCAATCTATCCTCTATATTCTGAGCGGCAGAGTAATAGCTTTGATCGCATTACACGTATCCAGGTCAAACCATTGACTAAGCTTATCATCCGACCAGCGCCCGCCCTCTTGGCAGATCACTTTAGCAACAGGTGAATCCCCCCCCCCCCAGCAGGCAAAATCAGGGGATTATACATCAACGGCCAGGGATGCAACCGAGGAATCCATTTAGAGTGAAGGAGAGAAGCAGTCCGCCCATTCCCAATCTGCCAACGTAAACCCATATCCAGCAACTGACGACCATAAATGATACTTTGCCAGCCCCAAAACGGACGGGACCGAGTCGAAGCATTAAGGAAAGTCCCATTTGGAAAGTACTTCCCTTTGTACACCTGGGCTAACAGGGACTCAGGTTCATTAAGGATACGCCAGCCAATCTTAGCCAAAAGGGCCTGATTAAAATGTTGAAAGCGGCAAAATCACATCCCTCCATCATGCTTACTTCTGCACATATTACGCTAAGAAACCCATCGAATCCTGGAATGGCCATCGTCAACTCCCCACCTGAAGCGGGCCACGTGTTTGTCTAGGAGTCGACACAGAGATAGCGGAAGCCTAAAACAGGACATGACATGTAGAGGCAAAGCTAAAGTAATTGATTTTATCAAAATTTCCTTAGCAGCCCAGGATAACGTACGCTGTTTCCATCTCTGTAGGCGTTCCAGCAGTTTCTCCTCCAGATAACGAAAGGTAGCCATCTTGGAGAGAGCGATTAGAGTAGGCAGCCCCAAATATTTATCATGTAAGAATTATAACAAAATTGTAAAGGTTTTTATCTTAAATGTTTGTTTCTTTTCAACGATAAGGGTTTTTAATACATATGTTTGAAAGTATCTAGATCCCATAAATATCCGAGAGACTTAGAAAGTACGTATTTGACCCCTTATAGATCGCATACTACCAAATAATATTTACTCAGAACGAATAGATCATGAGACCAAAATTATAATTAACTAAAGCTTATTCAATTCACAATTTGAAGCAAGAATTATAGCTTATTGATAAACGCTATCTATGCTATAAAAAAAATGTAGCTTATTTGAAAGAAGGCATATCATGATTTCATGCTTGATGAGTAATAGTACTGACTACTCCAACCACCATTCCCGTTATTCTTTGTCAACTTAGTTATATGAAAAGTCAGTCATAGTTGGTACCAGAAATTGTGATTCTGTGTGTGAGAGTTTGAAGTTTTTTCAAATCCTCTATTTTATGTGACTAAGTTAATTGGTAATATTGAGAGTTTTTTTTTGAGAGATTAATATTGAGAGTTATAAGAACTCATAATATGAAATTTTTCG